ACCTAGTGCTGGAGCCTGGTGTGGAGAGGAAGCTGATCCCCTACACCTCCGTCTTGGTACCCCTTGTAAAGTAACAGGAGGCACGATTGCCTAGAGTGGCATGAGGGTCTGGCAGTTCTGGTGACGATGGCTGAAGTCTGTGTGCGCCTGGATGCAGGTTGGACCGCGACGCAGGGCAGCAGGCACAGCAGGTTGGTAGACAGGCAGTGGGCACTTGGTGGGCTGGCAAGTCACAGGCTGAAGGTACTTGGCAGGGTGGCAGATCACAGGCAGCAGACACTTGGCAGGCTGGCAGTTCACAGGCAGCAGGTACTTGGCAGGCTACGGGACTGAGGATGGAAACCACAGGCGGGCAGAGCAGTGTCAGACAAGCCTGGTCGGTCACTAGCAAGCACGTTAGGAACAGGGCAGTGGGCAAAAGAGTGGTCAAGTTCAGGCAGGAGTTGGCAACAGTAAGCAGACAGGCAGAAGGATCAGGCAGAGAAATGGACAAAGGGCAAGCCAGGGGTTGGTTCAGGCATAGTTCAAGCGTGGTCAGACAGATTAGGACTGCAATAGGAGATCAACCAAAGGAACAGGTAGTAGGTAGCAGAAAGTTGTAGACCATAAGGCAAAGTACTAGTGTAACAGTAATGTTTAACCCCTTCGCTCCGTTGCCTCCTGGCCCTTTAAGGGTTTCAGAAACCAGGAGGCGGGGTTTAGGGTCATGTGACCGCCGTGACGAGCTGTCATGGCGGTCACATGATCGGGAAAGGTCCCGATCGAAAGAGGAAATCGGGACCTTTCCGTGAGTACCGGACATGTGTGCTGGGAGCGTGCAGGGTGCGCACTCTCAGCACATATGTCTTTTTTTAATAGAATGCAAGTGTGCGGCTGCTTGGCGTCTAGGCCCGGACGCTGGGAGGCCGCACGTTTGCGTTCAACCTGCATGAAGAGATTAAATGGCCCTAATCAGTGGGCGTGTGCTGGCATGTGTGCTGGCATGTGCACGGGGCTGGCAAACAGGTATTCTCTACCTGCGCACAATTGTGCACATTTCAGCTTTCCTGGCACAGTCACTTCTCTCTGCTGAGAGCATAGAAGGAGAACTGAGAGATCAGTGGTGTTTGATCGCTCAGTTCTCACCTGTATAGCTGGCAGGGTACAGATGCAACATTGAATCTATGCTGCATCAACCTAGGTAAGTATGATTTAAAAAAAAAAAAAAAGCCATACTTCTCTTTTAAGGCACTTCCTGTTATAGGGTGACAATGTTGTGTACCTGTCTTCCAGCTGTTCTCCCGTATTGTTGCCCAGTCACATAGGTTTCCAATAAAGACCATTTCAACACATATTACACAGACTGGTCCGTTGTTGCCATCATTAAGAAACCAGCCTTGAGAAATGCCAGCCTTGAGAAGTATCCATCGCTGGAGTACATGTAGACAGAAAGGGGGTTGCAAACAACAAAGGATTAGAAAAATGGAATTTTATGGGAGATAAATGCATGGTGCACAGTACTTTAGCAAACTAAGAGGACTGTTTGTGGAAATTTGCATAGCTAGTCATCCAGGTAAATGACATGTACAATTTTTCAGTGGGAAAAAAGAGAGCCAACACGTTTTATGGGGTTCAGTCACTCTCCCTTCATCAGGCCACAACAAAAATTAGACTATAAAAGTACATATAAAATAATAAAGTTCATGTTGTAAAGAGGCTATAATAGATTTTTTATTATAGACCTTTTACTGCACAAATTTTCTTCTTTTGGATGAACTTTTATATTCTTTCACTTGTTTTAGCCCTGATGAAGGGGGAGTGTCTGAATCACCAAAAGGTGTATTGGTCCTCGTCCCACTGGATATATAGAGAAAAAAATTTTTGGGCTCCTAGGTATTGATTTGATAGTTGTATTGCTCCTTACATATTAACCTCCCTAGCAGTCTGATTATGTCCATATTTCTGTATTCAAAGCGGTACATTTTTTTGCATGGAAATATGTTGTTTTTTTTTATTGTAGGCCTGTAATTTTTAGGAATAACTCACGGAAATCTGTCCGAACAAGAGTCTAGTAAACATCCCGGGTATGATAAAATTTGAAACACGAAATCATAAATTATAATTTAATAAATAATCATAAATAATAATATAATAATAATAAATTTAATTCAATAATATAATCAAACCAAAAACACTGAAATGTGAAATATAGCGCCAAGTTCGCACATCACTGAGCAAAGTCGCAGAATCGTTTTCAGTGTCTGATGATGAATTTCCCCCACAAATCATTATCACTCAATTCTGCAAGTGGTTCTGATTTACTATCGCTGTTCTCTAGCCGGTCTAAAACCGCTTTTGACCTAAAGGGACGCTTTTTGGACGCCATGGACGTTTCTAAGTTTCCAGGCAGAAAGAACAGTATAAATGCAGGCAGGGCACCGGACAAAGCACTCGGGACAAAATGTATGTGAAATGGTTTGATACAGGAATGTTTTACTATCAGATTTTAGTGTATTTAGTGAATGTCACTGTTTGTCATTTTCAAATTTCCCACCGGTTCTATCCCCCGTACGTCCCGACGTCGCAGGGAACGGAACCCAGACGACAGATGGCGGAATCCGCCGGAGGACATTGCCGGGGACACTGCAGGGGGGACATTGCGGGAGCGCAGGACAAGATAAGTGAAGAACAGATCCCGGAGCAGCGCTGCAGTGTATTCCCGAGTGTAGCTCGGGGTTACCGCTTGTGGTGCTGAAACTTTACCCCGAGCTACACTCGGGAATACCTCCAGGGAGGCTACGATTTTATTTCAGTCTGTGTCCTCATAGGGGAGATTTTTCTTTGCGTTCTTTCCAGGTGACAGATGCCCAAAAAACATTACACAAGGGAAAATCTTACCAGTTGGGTCACATCATATAACCCGACAATGCTTGTAATCCTCCAAAAAACAAGACGAAAAAAGGTTTTGGTTGGGGTGGGCTTCAAAGATCATCGCCTGTGCATTTTAGTGGATTTCATTTGCCAATATTATTTTAACGAATAATCATGCTTCCAAATACGTTTGTGATCGTCTTCGGAGACGAATGCTAATTGCAAATGTGTTAAAGCGGAGAGAGTGAGGCGTTTTTTCTTGAGATCCTGTGCCTCCTACCTACAGTATGTGTATTATAGTCTGTCATCCTCCCCATTCTACATGGACTCCTGAACGCTTGCCAAGCCATAAACATGAGGAGCGCAAGGGGCGCCGCTGCTTTTCCGACTGCAGAAAGTGCTGCGCTTACTGTTTCGATTCTCTGAGAAGTTTGTTTTTGCTTCTACAGACTGCTGTTTCATCACACAAACTGATTGAACATTATGTTCCCACCATGTGTTTTATCCCATCGCTCCATTATATATTTATTTTGCATTAATAGCCCGGTGTTTGCGCTTGAATAGACATTCGGAGGAAAGGCGTGTTTCGTGCAGCGAGCTAATAATGTGGTAGAGCTGTTGGTAAGGTGATCTTACCTTGTTTAAAGAGAGTATGTAGTGCTTTGATATTTATTTTCTTACATATATTTTAGGACTAACAAAATAATTTTTATAACAAATATAAAATATTGCATGTTATTACGTTAAAGTGTTACTAAAGCCAGGACCCTGCATTCACTATATCCGGTCTCCCTGGACCCTGCATTCACTATATCTGGTCTCCCTGGACCCTGCATTCACTATATCTGGTCTCCCTGGACCCTGCATTCACTATATCTGCTCTCCCCGGACCCTGCATTCACTATATCCGGTCTCCCTGGACCCTGCATTCACTATATCTGCTCTCCCCGGACCCTGCATTCACTATATCTGGTCTCCCTGGACCCTGCATTCACTATATCCGGTCTCCCTGGACCCTGCATTCACTATATCTGCTCTCCCCGGACCCTGCATTCACTATATCCGGTCTCCCTGGACCCTGCATTCACTATATCCGGTCTCCCTGGACCCTGCATTCACTATATCCGGTCTCCCCGGTCCCTGCATTCACTATATCCGGTCTCCCCGGACCCTGCATTCACTATATCTGGTCTCCCCGGACCCTGCATTCACTATATCTGGTCTCCCTGGACCCTGCATTCACTATATCTGGTCTCCCTGGACCCTGCATTCACTATATCCGGTCTCCCTGGACCCTGCATTCACTATATCCGGTCTCCCAGGACCCTGCATTCACTATATCCGGTCTCTCCGGACCCTGCATTCACTATATCCGCTCTCCCCGGACCCTGCATTCACTATATCCGGTCTCCCCGGACCCTGCATTCACTATATATGGTCTCCCTGGACCCTGCATTCACTATATCCGCTCTCCCCGGACCCTGCATTCACTATATCTGGTCTCCCCGGACCCTGCATTCACTATATCTGGTCTCCCCGGACCCTGCATTCACTATATCTGGTCTCCCCGGACCCTGCATTCACTATATCCGGTCTCCAGACCCTGCATTCACTATGTCTGGTCTCCCCAGACCCTGCATTCACTATATCCGGTCTCCCCGGACCCTGCATTCACTATATCCGATCTCCCCGGACCATGCATTCACTATATCCGCTCTCCCGGACCCTGCATTCACTATATCCAGTCTCCCCGGACCCTGCATTCACTATATCCGGTCTCCCCGGACCCTGCATTCACTATATCCGGTCTCCCCGGACCCTGCATTCACTATATCCGGTCTCCCAGGACCCTGCATTCACTATATCCGGTCTCCCCGGACCCTGCATTCACTATATCCGGTCTCCCCGGACCCTGCATTCACTATATCCGGTCTCCCAGGACCCTGCATTCACCCTATCCGGTCTCCCCGGACCCTGCATTCACTATATCCGGTCTCCCCGGTCCCTGCATTCACTATATCCGGTCTCCCCGGACCCTGAATTCACTATATCCGCTCTCCCCGGACCCTACATTCACTATATCTTGTCTCTCTGGACCCTGCATTCACTATATCCGGTCTCCCCGGTCCCTGCATTCACTATATCCGGTCTCCCCGGACCCTGAATTCACTATATCCGCTCTCCCCGGACCCTACATTCACTATATCCGCTCTCCCCGGACCCTGCATTCACTATATCCAGTCTCCCCGGACCCTGCATTCACTATATCCGGTTTCCCCGGACCCTGCATTCACTATTTCTGGTCTCCCGGACCCTGCATTCGCTATATATGGTCTCCCTGGACCCTGCATTCACTATATCCGCTCTCCCTGAACCCTGCATTCACTATATCCGCTCTCCCCGGACCCTGCATTCACTATATCCGCTCTCCCCGGACCCTGCATTCACTATATCCGGTCTCTCCGGACCCTGCATTCACTTTATCTTGTCTCTCCGGACCCTGCATTCACTATATCCGGTCTCCCCGGACCCTGCATTCACTATATCCGGTCTCCCCGGACCCTGCATTCACTATATCCGGTCTCCCCGGACCCTGCATTCACTATATCCGATCTCCCCGGACCCTGCATTTACTATATCCGGTCTCCCCGGACCCTGCATTCACTATATCCGGTTTCCCCGGACCCTGCATTCACTATATCTGGTCTCCCACAGTACACACAACATGGAAGTGCAATTATTTTAGTAAATATAAACTGCTAAATACCTTTTCTCATCAGCAATTAGAGCAGTCTTGTGACTTCTATCAGTGTTAAGCCAAGCACTAGCTAAAGTTTGTAGGAGGAGATTTCTTTCTGCTCTAGGTGGATGCCCAACCCCTGATCTTTATCTGCCAGTGCTGATTGGCCCTGTGCTGATCACATGCACTCTCCCAAGAAAAAAAAAACTCTAGCAATACACACCAATCTGAGCATGTGCAAAATACCTACGGTTCAGTCTGTCTTATCAGAAAATAAAAGGTGGTCACTTTAACAAGGGGAGGAACAGAGCAATCGGGATCAAACGGCCTTTTTACACAAAGTGGAGGATTGACCCCTTAGGTCCCACAGTGAGTATAACAAGCATGCTTTACTGCATATACAGACTAATTTTACTATTGTGGGTTTAGTAACACTTTAACTCAATGGGCATGCGGCTTTTTTTTTTTCCCCAACCTATGTTACTTTTTGTATTCTCCTTTGGAGCCAGCAGGTGGAGCTTTAGGCACTTTTTTCACTGGTTTGCCAGGGATTCATTTGCTCCTTTGTTGTAAAAAGCCTGTTTACATAGCTCAGTAACTCAAGGTGAAATTTACATCGAATAAGTCAAAGCAGTGACTCCTTCAGATTTAAATTGTAAAAAAAAGCTAAAACCTTTTTAGTTTTGGATGGAGTTGGGAATGGTTAGAACTCCTACTGCTTATGTCCTGTTGGGGAGATTTCCCTACACTTCCTGTCTTTGAGTCCTGGAGACACAACAGAAAGTCAGAGGAAATCTCTTTGAAAGTGAGGATAAATCCCCTCCTAGACAGTTGTCTCCAGAATAGATATTTATTCTTCTTGGGACTGTTTGAGACACTTCCACAGGCACAACAGAAAATGAGGGGAAATGTCTCCCAAATGAGGGGAAATCCTTTCTTAAATGGGTTTCTACATTGGAAGCTTTCCCTTTACTTTCTCTCCGGCGATACCTGTAAAAGTTTGGATTTCCCATCACGTTCTGTTCTGACAATGGATAAAGAGGGTGAATGGAATATAATACAACAATGGAAAATATAAATGAAGGGTAAAACGTGTGTGTGTGTTATTTATTAGAAATACCTTTTTATTTCCTTCTTTTTTTTTTTTTTTTTTTTATAAATTATCACATACCCTCTGTTCTCAGCTGCATAAGAGCTAGGGGTGGAGAAACAGCAGCACATTGATCTTCCCAGTGAATGGCTGTGAAGGGTGGACGTGTCATCAAAGCCTCATTATTGGAGGTGAGCAGGTTGAGTTCCCAGTACAGCTAAAGAACTGACCACACTGTGCTCTCCTGCCTAGTGTGGTCAGTTTTTAATAGGAAAGCAGAGAGACTGGCAGGAACAGCAAGGATTTTCACACAAATGAAACAATACAAAGAGAACAGGATATGTTTTCATACAAGTACATAGTACAGCAGGCACATATCAGGAATATGAAATGTTGGGTTTATATATTCTTTAAAGGGTGAACTAACACTCTACAGTAAGAAGAATTCCTCCTTACATTGGTCATCAGTGGGAAGAATGTCCCTTACATTGGTGATCAGTGGGAAGAATGCCCCTTAACATTGGTCATCAGTGGGAAGAATGTCCCTTACAATGGTGTAATTGCTGGGGAAGAATGTTCCTTACATTGGTGATCAGTGGGAAGAATGCCCCTTACATTGGTGATCAGTGGGAAGAATGCCCGTTACATTGGTGGTCAGTGGGAAGAATGTTCCTTACATGTGGTGATCAGTGGGAAGAATCTTCCTTACATTGGTAAATTCAGTGGGAAGAATGTTCCTTACATTGGTGATCAGTGGGAAGTGAGAAGAAATGTTCCTTACATTGGTGATCAGTGGGAAGAATGTTCCTTACATTGGTGATCAGTGAGAAGAATGTCCCTTACATTGGTGATCAGTGAGAAGAATGTCCCTTACATTGGTGATCAGTGGGAAGAATGTTTTCCCTTACATTGGTGATCAGAGAGAATGTCCCTTACATTGGTGGAATCATTGGGAAGAATGTTTCCACATACTTTGGTGATCGAATGGGAAGGAATGCCCTCTTTACATTGGTGATCAGTGGGAAGATTGTCCCCAAACATTGGTGATCAGTGGGAGAGAATGTTCCTTACATTGGTGGTGCAGTGGGAAGAATGTTCCTTACATTGGTGATCAGTGGGAAGAATGTTCCTTACATTGGTGTATCAATGGGAAGAATGCCCCTTACAATTTGGTGATCTGTGGGAAGAATGGCCCCTTACCGTTGGTTATACAGTGGGAAGAATGTTCCTTACATTGGTGGTCAGTGGGAAGAATGCTCCTTACATTGGTGATCCAGTGGGTAGATTGTTCCTGACATTGGTGATCAGTGGGAAGAATGTCCCTTACATTGGTGTTCAGTGGAAGAATGTTCCTTACATTGGTGGTCAGAGGGAAGAATGTCCCTTACATTGGTGATCAGTGGGAAGAAATGTTCACACTACATTGGGGGGTCAGTGCGGTTTTTTTTTTTCCCCCCCCCACATTGGGAAGAATGCGTCAGTGGGGAGGTCAGTGGGGAAGAATCACTTACATTGGTGACAGTGGGAAGAATGGTTCCTTACATTGGAGATCAGTGGGGGGGAAGATTGTTCCCTTACATTGGTGATCAGTGCAGCAGAATGTCCTTACATTGGTGATCAGTGGGAAGTATATATGTCCCTTACATTGGTGATCAGTGGGAAGATTGTTCTTACATTGGTGATCTGTGGAAAGAATGCTCCTTACCATTGGTGATCAGTGGGAAGAATGTCCCCTTACATTGGTGATCAGTGGGAAAGAATGCTCCTACTTTGGTGGTCAGTGGGAAGAATGTTCCTTACATTGGTGATCAGTGGGAAGAATGTTCCTTACATTGGTGGGTTAATGGAAGAATGCCCCTTACATGGTGATCAGTGGGGAAAAATGTCCCTTACATTGGTGATTTAAGGGGGGAAGAATGCCCCCTTTCCCCTTGGGGGTCATGGGGAAAAAATGGTTTCCCTTTCAATTTGGGACAGTGGGGAAGAAAAGTTTCCTTTCATTGGGGTCAATGGGGAAAAATGCCCCTTAAAATTGGTGAACAGTGAGAATGTCCCCCTTTCATTGGGGACAGTTTGGGGAAAAAAGTTCCTTAAAATTGGTGAACAGTGGGGAAAATGCCCCTTACATTGGGGATCCTGGGAAAAAAAGTTCCTTAAAAATTGGGGCAATTTGGGGAAAAATGCCCCCCTTTCATTGGGGATCATGGGAAGAAAGCCCCTTACATTGGT